TCACAAAGGTCTTAGGGGTCTGGCCTTGTGAGTGTGTGTGGCCCATTTAGATGACAGGTGATAGTATCTGATGGTCACAGAGAGGAGAGCAAAGCTTTAAATGCTGATAGTGTCATCTTCCCTTTGATTTCAGAATGAAACAACTGTTTTACATTCATTTGTGAATAAAAAGAATCAAACAGTAGTTTTGAATCAATCAACATTCTGTTGTTATATATTGTGTATTCCCAGTGAGGATGACTTTGTGTTGTTTCAGGCTCTGGAGGGAGCTGGTGCTGGGAATAAATCAGCAGTATGTGGACTGTTTCACTTCAGTGACTGGGTTGGGGGGTGGGTGACATGTATGAAGACGTAAACATGCTGTGTGTCCTGAGCACACACAATAATGATTGTTCCTCTGCAGAACCAAACAGCAACTCAGTGAAGAGTAAAAATAGAATAAAAATTGCCATACGTGTTGTTGCTCTGTGAATAAGTGCATGCAGCAGGCAGTGTGCATTTGTTGTGTGTTGTAAAAGTGTGGTGGATGGAGGCTGTGTCAGTGTCAATATTGTTTGTATTTGTCTGAACTTCAGTAAATGGTTGAACTCTGGTCACGAGTCAATCGGGCTACTTTGCTGTGAGAGGGAACTGATCATCAGAACACTGCTATTTAATTTGCCAATTTATCATTATATTCTTCAACATTTGATGTGGTGTTAAATCATCTATTTTTATTTATAATAAATATATTTACATTTTCAGCATTTTTTAAAAAACACGATAACATGATAATAATCATGATACAAACTTTTTAATCTCTTGAATGTGTAAATGAATTGTGTCATGATTGTGTGTTTTTACACTGGTCGTGTTAATCAGAATAATCAAGTGAGTGTATAAGAGCAGAACAATTTTCATTTAAAACAATCAAGACCAGACCATGGATCATATCACGTAGATGAAAGTGACTCTCTGTGGCGAATTAGTGAAAATGTTTAACAACCGTGTCAGAGTGCAAAACACAATATAATTACATAAAACAGCAATTGTTAACATGTAAGCAGTAACAGTAAGAGGACACCACTGTGGTGATCTGTTGCAGAATCAGATTAAGACAAGCGTCAGGCAGAGAAGAGGAAGGCCAGATCAGCTTTCAGACAAACGGCATAAAAAGGAAAGAGGCACAGAACAAGAGACACATGTACAGATGCATGGAGGTCACACTGAAGAGAATCAAAAAAGCAGGAAGCCATACTAACCTCGTGGTTCTAATGTATTGTCTACTTTGTCGTTTACATCAAATACACGGTCATGTACGCCTATAGTTTTCACACAGCTGTCTATAACAGAAAATAGGGAGAATGAGAGATCATTAGAGGTATATGCCAAATAGGTTAGTGACATTTGAAGCCCCCCGTCTACGCCCTGAAATTAAAACATCCCAAGCAACAAAGCTCATGGCAACGTTCAGATGAGGTATGAAGCGACCTGAGTTTCATTTGATGTGATCATCTATCATCCTTTCTTATGTTTTCATTCAAAAGAGGAAAAAAAAAAATCTTATCAAGTAAAGCAGTTCTGTGATCAATGGAATAAAGGGTTTGGACAGTGAGCGAAAAGGTAACTGAAGAGGCAGTGAAGTAAAAAAAAAAGAAAAAAGAAGTAGACATAAATTGTTTTGATTTTCAATTCAATGTAGACTCAAACAAGCTCTGTTACAAAGCCTCCGTGTCACATGCAAACACTTACTTGATGGTCGGACGAAAACTTTCAGCTTCAGGCATGTTTTCCTCCCGTTCTCAGCGATGGTGGAGGCTGAAAAAAATGTAGACAAAGGTGAAACCGGTGTAACAACAGCACTAGATATACTACAATAGTACATGTGCAGTGAATAACAAAAACTTGTTTCCAAACTGCATCTTTCCTTACAAAGATCTGCATGAATATCTTCCTAAAGATGAATATTTCATGTCGTATTCCTTCCTGTGAGCAACGGTTAAAACTGAGGTTTATTCAGGAGGAAAAAAAAATCAACTTTCAGATAGTTAATGTTGGCTCTTAAGTGGGTTTTAGTGGGTTAGTCATGGTTCTTGGGGAATAATGGCTAGAAAGTATTTACAGATGTGCTCGCAAAGTCTCTCTGGGGGAAAGTGGAGTGCTTCGCTCACAGTTTAATTCTAGCATCTTAGATTTGTGCAACTGGCTGCAGCTTAGGAAGGATCAAGGAATTTGCATAATTTTGACTTGTTTAAAATAGGAAAAATACATTTAAAAGTCAAAACTGGAAGATGATGTGTTTGTAGTTTATTTGTATTTCCATCCACAAAGACCTCAGCACTTTTCAAGAGAGTCAAAGTTCACACACCGGGGAATTTACACAGTGCATGTATGGATGGTTTGCGGCCGCTGTCAGGAAATGGATCCTTTCCTGTCAAACCCATTGGGGGTGAATCCCTGAGCGTTCTCATCCCCTACAAATATAATGTGCAAAATGTGTGTGTGTGTGTGTGTGTGTGTGTGTGGTTGGCCGCTAATAGTGTGGAGGATGTTGAGGCACCAGGTGCCGTCTCGGTAGGAGAGTATAGGGGTCAAACACGTAGCAGTTGGAGCACGGTGGTTGCATCCATCATGGCAGTATATCATAGTGTAGTTTAAAAATATATATATTTTACAGTCTTGTGTAATGACATCATATCAAATAACAAATAGTCTAGGTTTTTCTCCCACTCTGGTGACATATTATTGATATTTACTGTAACTTGTTTTCATCCTACTTTCCCCCTCCGGCTCCGCAGAGACCACACTGTCTGCAAAGCTGTCTGTCGGGCATCGTTTCACGTCTTCTGTGGATCATTCCACAGCTGATGCAATGAAGCCAAGCATTTCCAAAGGCTACCATTTGGGAACTGTCAACTCATGTCCAGTGAACCTATACCTAACCCTGTTCTTCCCTTCCCTCGGCCCCAGCTGTGTCACCCTCTCCTCTCGTCTGTCAGCGCCGTCACATCCGCTCGTCAAGACTCCACTAGATGAAGATTTTTACATCAGTCTGGTCACGTTGCTCTTCATGCTCTTTATTTAATTTTCTGATCTCTTGTCTGCACAGTGTTTAACATTCAAAGATGAATCTGTATACATCACTGCAATCAATGGCCCAGCATCTATTTTCCATGGAAAAAGCAGTGAGTTGCCTCTGTAGCCATGGGGATGTTTTTATTAAGAGAATTACTGACTAATAACTACGGAAAAAGGGTCAGAAGAGATGGAAATATATTCCTCTCCGCTCTTGATTTACCCTGAGTTTCGATGCCAGCCTCTTATCAAATGCATGCTGCATTCTCTTTCAATCATTTTGGGAATCCTTCTCTACAGCTCATCAAGCGCTCTCTCTCTCTCATTCCCTCCTGCCTCTCGACCTCGCTTTTACCATTTTAATGTTGTTGCTTCATCAGCTGTTATCTGTTTCTTAGTCATGTGTCAGTGAGAGGCGACTTGAGATCAGATGTTCTTTTTCACAGCTCGGTTCATATTCAGCAGATGCTGGTGGGGAGGAAAGTGGAAGGGAGAGGGGGAGAGAGAGAGAGAGAGAGGGAGAGAGAGAGAGAGAGAGAGGGGGAGAGAGAGAGAGAGAGAGAGAGAGAGGGCCTTATTATTTCGGTGTGGAGGCAGCCGATGACACGCTAATGAACCTTGGCCACCGTCGCTCACCCACTCATACACACCAGTACCCACACAATTTATGTCACTCCTCTTGTTGCTCCAGTTCTCTTTTCCACCACTACTTTATGCTCCCACTTTCCGACACACACACACACACACACACACACACACACACACACACCCTCTCCAGATGTCTTATCTTCATCGTGGTTGAGGGCAGAGCTGAGTCACAGCCATCCACACCAGCCACTTAGCAAAGGCAGCTGATCATGAGAGAAGTATGGCCCTGATGAAAATGGCGGAGAGCATGTGGGAGTCTCTGTCATGACGACAGTTTGCTGAGCTGTTTGTGATGTTCAGAGATTTGGCCATGCACGACATCCGCCTCCCACACGAAAAAAGACAATCTCGGACATAAGGTAAAAGAGCGAACAGATATCTCAATTGTGTAGTGATCAAAGCGGCTATCATCAATTATGAAGTTCATGGAAAGTATTGAATTCTGCATCTGTTTCCTCGAGCTGTTGTCATCAAGAATAACGATTTTAAAGTAAGAGCCTGAGCCTTTCACAGACATATCAATATCAGCATATATTTGCTAACATGAAAACTTTTATTTTGCAATAAACAGTGTAAAAATGAGCATTCATCTTTACAATAAAATTATATACATTTTCTTACTTCAGATTCTATTTAATTGTTATTTCTTTTTATTTATAGTTATTTATAATAAATGTTATGGTTAAATTATATAATATCAAGCCTCAATTACATTTCTTTCTTTGAAGATTTTATCAAAAATGTTCTACTCCCAAAAATCAATATCGGTCTGGCTCTAATAAATACACTATTTGACATTGACCAGCCCACGTCTCTGTTGTTCTGTTAATGTGAGAAAAATGAAGTCAATGAGATTAACTGAGCCTGGACGTGGCCACTGACTTGACATGATGCAGACGAACGAGGTGTGTTGCTCTACATTCTTCACTACAAAGGGCAGATTACATTTGGCTCTACATTCCTTTTCTTGGTAGCAGGCTCTTTATTCTGTGTTTGATGAGGATCTCTCCACCCTGGGCCCGAACCACCCGGGCCAGTGCCTGTTTATTTTGGATTAACAGGCTGCAGAGGGCCAGCTTATTGTTCTTGTAGGCCGCAACATCAACAACTGCTATTCTGGTTCCCATCAGGCCCTGCACATGGAGCCACAACCATCAATCCATCCAGCCTGAGCAAGTGGCTGCTGCTTTGAAGGACAGAGACCCTGAAAAGAAGTCTCAGGGATGGGGGGGTGTGAGGGGGTGGTGGGGTGGCGGGGACGAGGTCAGGTTACTTCTCCAGGCCGTGTCCCCTGGCTGGTAATGGCTGGTCCCCTCAGTACACTGCATTATGCATCAGCATTAAGGCAAATGGAATGAAGCAGAATCCAATTACGGAAGAACAAACAGGTGGGCTCAGTGCGGCTTAGGCGCAGTATTGTTTCAATCACAGCCCAAGCCAAGCTTCTTTGCAACTGTAATGTTATCTGGAAAACACATTTCCTTTTTCCTTTCAGTGGGGGAGTCAACAGCGTCTTCCAGACGCGAGGAAATAAAACCACGTGTCTGGCATGATGGGAAGCTAAATGCAAAGTTTAACTTGGCTAAATACAGCGCAGAATATCATTGTCGAAGGTGTAATGGCTCTGCAGTAACAGAATACTGTAGGTTGAGTCAATCCAAGTGCTACAAAAAGCTTTATTTGATGTTTCTTTTACATTAAATCTGGTGTCATTTGGGGTCTTCTCATCGTCTGTTAACCTTTAACTAATTTTAGACATTTGGCAGTGTCAGGACTTAATGCACTATTTCAGACCGACGCGCTGCAAGGTACAGATGGTTTAATAATTTTGTAATATGAAAGTTTCAGGTTCCCACTTTTGACAACTGTGTTTAAAATTGTCCTGCTTGTAGAGCTCCACTACAACAAAACTTAATAATCTGTGGAGAGTGCTTTTCCCAGAGGTCCACAAAGTGTCAACACTTTGTATGAAACAGTATTTCACTATAAAGCATTCCTTCAATTTCAGCGTCAAAAGCCAAGCCTCGCATAGACTCGTATGCCATCATGTGAAAGTGTAACATGAATATCATCATGTTAGCATTCCTTTTAGTCTGATTTTCCAGCCCTAAGCGCTCCTCGCCAGCTATCTCTGCCAGTTCACTGAAAAATGGACCGCAGGCCTCTTTGAGAATATTTTTCGGTCTCACAGCGTACAAACCCAGTCTAGAAAGATCCCGCAGTCTGGGTTTACAAAACCTGATGTACAAAATACACAATTTGACGTTTCCAGAACCTTTGTGACAACCTCTACTGATGTTTCCATCTATAGTTAATTAGACAGTTTGCAGCTGGAAGACATTTCCTCTATTCGGTGCATAAAAATCACTGCTGGGATTCATTAATATTGGTTTCAGAGTGTGGGAGCAGTCAAAAGAAGCCAATTTTTAACTGAACACATGTTAAAAAACCTTGAATTCAAAAGTTCCACCCCTCCAATAGGTAACATCAGCTGCTCTGCTGTCTGGGATAATCTCTTTATAGGCCCTACTATAGCACACATATATAGAATGAACTCATATAGAATAAAATGAATATACGTACTGACATAGTTATTGAGTGACCTTCACAAAATGTCCTCGCACATACATAGCAGCATACTATTAACTAGGACACCTTTAAAAGAGAAAAAGATATTCTGAAAAGATTTGAATCTACCATTAAAGGGAATGCATTTGTGCATTTATGTTTGCTTTCCTACACGATGTGTGAGTGTGTGTGTATTAGAAGATGGAAGAGGCTATCCACTGAAAAGGCCCATTAACCAGATGTTACTACAGCGAGCACACAATAGGAGGGGAATGAGGGAGCTGGGAGGAGCAGTGAAAGACGATGCCTCTGATTCAGGCAGCAGAAGGAACATAAACTTCCCTCCCTGATGATAGTTGCCCTCTTGCTCCTTCCTAGCGTCTTTTAGCGTCCATCAAAAGTGAGCCAAGGTCAAAAGCAATGAAGGAAACAAGTGAGAGAAAGAACATGTTCATAAAAGGACAGTGGGTTAAATCTCTGTTTTACCATATATCAATGCAATGATTCAGGGCTACAATTAATTCCCC